GATTTATTAAATTGTAACTGTTTTAGAAAGTGAAGAAGTTTCATAAAAGGTAAGACTTTTTAAGTTTGTATGCATACATCTATCACGAAATTAAAACTTTTTTAATAATAATTTCAGTTTCATTACTATAGTTTCATTAAAGCCACTCTATTTCAGAGCGTATACGGCTGAAAATTATTCTTGCAATTTAAGAAACTGCATGCGTTTGAATTTATTTGATATTATTCTCCCTATTTAGCAAGTGCAATTTTCCCTTAAACTACGATTTTAATAATTTTAACAACCTATAGAATGAAACAAGTTTTTGCAGCTCCAAGAAAAATTTATAAATTTGAGCATATTTGAAATTTTTTTGTCTCTTTAGGAAGTATCATATATAGAGAAATTTTTCAATAAACTAGGATTTTAAAAACTTTGTTATTGGACAAAGGAGGAAGAAGGCTTTATGTCCCTGAAAGCTGTTTCTGAGAAAAGCGAATGTCAAGGTTTGGTATTTTTCCAAGAGCAATTAATTATACGATTGAAATTTTTAAAAAAATGTATAAGAATGCCCCCCCCCCCACAAAAAAAAATTACGGAGCAAAATTTAAAATTTCTGGTATTTAGAAATAAAATAAAAGTTGAATATCGGGTTGGACGAGAACCGCTTCCCCCCCCCCCTTTAACAATACTTTATCACAACTATTCCCGTTCTCTTCTTCGCTATACACTTCAATAGAAATTTTTCAATAGAAATACACTTCAATAGAAATACACTGCCAAAAATTCCAGATCAAATTACAAAAAAAGTACCAGCACTCAAAGTGCCCGTACTTTTTACAATGAAATCCATTTTTACCGGAACATGTTACTGAAGAAAAAATCAGATATATCGTGATTTTAACTATAATTACCGCAAAATCACCGAATCACACGAATTAACTAAATATTACTGTAAAATTATTAAATATTGTAATATCTTACAGTGAAAATGTATTTTACGGTTGATGCACCTTAAGTGCCAGTACTTCACACTGTAATCTGATCCAGAATTTTTTACAGCATATGAGACTTTATATATATTTTTTTTATTTTCAGTGATCGATAATTACTAAAAAAAAAAGAGGGTGCACGACTTATAAAAATGCGATAATGATATCCCCGATGCCCTCCTACATAAAAGGCATAGCTTCTTATATTCATACGATTTTCGACTTTAACTATCAGGGCAATGTCCTAATATATACATATACTATTCAACAATAAGAAATAGAGGGAAAAAAAAATATTTTTCAATTTTTCACTGTGATGTTCTCCATCACTAGGAAATAAGTGATTTTGAAAATATTTTTTTAATTTTTTTAGACATAGATAACAGCTAAAAAGATATTTCATTTCTAAACATTTGATGATTTTAAAATATGATGTTAATATTTAATAAAGAAGTTTTATTGGAAATTTTCCCCCATATAGATAAGAAACCTTTTTCTATTATTTCCTCGTTGGAATTATCTTTGAATCAATTTCAGAGAAATTAACATTTCTTTAGATTATAATACAAATTACTTTTTTTTGTTTGAAAATTTTAGATAACTCAATAATCTATACCTTCATTGCTCAAGATTTCTTCAGGACTTTTTTTGTAGTAGTCCTCCGTAGCAGCACAACCAATCTTTATTTTTATTCGTAATTTAATGTTCATTATTTGTTGTAATTAGATAGCAAAAAAAAAAAAAAGAAAGTTACCTTTTTACTGGTATAATAGTGAGTTTTTGAAAATCGGTGCAGAAACAACAGAACAGGTTACGAAACAAGCTTTGGCCGTGCTTTGGTACCATACTACACCAATTGACGAAATGTTTCCAAACATGTTTAAATCAAGATGATGGATGTTAATCTTTACCTAACATGACAATTTAAAAACAGCCCTTAGTGCTTTAGTCATAGCATTGTTGAAAAATAACCTTAACGGAAACTAAGGCTCCTATACTATATATAGTCTAATTCAGGAGCTCTAACGGAAACATTATGCCCAGTGACGTCAAGATAGTGACGCCATTACGGAGGTTTAAACAAACGAACTCTATTAACCCATTGAGGATAAATTATTCCCTTAGTACAGTCAAAAGTCTCTTAGCTCCTTCGTCAACTATTACAACTTAATTTTTGATTGGCTATATTTAGAGGCCAAAAAAATGCATCAAATACCCAATAACAAAAAATTAAATCTGCATTGTGAATTTTAAAACACAATAAATATTTCCATGCTCATGCTTAACATCTAGCTGGCGATTATAAAGTAAACGTACTTATTTTGTCATTAAATATATTTTATGATGAGAGAGTATTTGTAATCTCACTCAAATGAAGATTCGCTATTTCATAAAGGATTGCGTATTCAGGAAAGAAACCAGTAATGTTACCCCGAGATTATTGTACTTCACATAAACATCGGTACACAATTTCAGCTGACCTATGCTCAGATCATACTATGAGGTCAACTATACCAAATTCTAACCCATTTTTATGCTTAAAAATAAAACTTTCCCCCGATGTTTATAACTTAAATTTTGATGAACAGCGTAACTTAGTAATACAAGACAAATTATTGATATTTATACCAAATATTAAAGCAAGACAAATTATTGATATCATATTCATGATTGAATATGATTTCTACAATTTATAAACACAAAATAACCTTGTTTTTAAAGATAATTTTTTATAATGGTAGTGTTTTTCATTGGTCAATAAACAATGTCTATCAACAGTTCAGAAGAAGTTTTTCTCTCGGGAAAGCAGCTTATTCAATCCTTTTCAATGTACAATAGGGCACGTGATTCTGACTAATTTTCACATGACTTCTCAATTGCTAAGTATGAACCAATTAAAATTGTTGATCCGCCCACACATTAGTTTTCTTATGTATGGCAATGTCTGATTGGTTCATTTTTCGTGATTGACAGGTAGAAAAACAGAGACGTTTCCTGTATTTTTTTAGAATAAAATTGAAGTCAATCACGAGAAATGTTCAGAGTCGTCGTAAGGGGCATTTGCCCAGGATCCCGCAGTTATAGAAGGGACCACGCCATAGTTATTAAAATTTTTTTTAGTAGTTGGTTAAAATAAATTTTATCCAGTTCACGTAAAAGCTATATTATTTTATTATGCATGGCTAACTAAAGATATAGAAAAAGATTAAAAAAGACGACGCCACAAGATTTTTTGCTCAAAGAGCCACGTTAAAGCAATAAAAAAAAATTCTTGTGTAGATTTTGGAGTACTATATTCTGAAGAAGGTTTTCTGAATTAATGGTTTCCTAAAAATTATTTTAAGTTTCAATCAGTGTGGTAGTAACGTTTCAATCACCTATGTACCAGTGTTATCACTTGAATTAGCGTTTCGTATGTATCAGTGTTTCTTATCACTTGAATTAGCGTTTCGTATGTATCAGTGTAAAAATATATTTTTAAATTGAGAATTATGTGAAATAACGCATTTTTGAATTGTTTATTGTTAATAATAATATTTTTTTTTAACATTAGAAAATAATTTCTTCACATTTATAGATCAGAATTTTTATTCAATTTAAAAAGTGATAAAATTATTTTCGTACAAAAAACACGCATGAACACGAAAGATAACTTAAACGCACTATAAAATATTATCTACAAGGAAAAAAAAAATATTTAAAACTGCAAATTGTTAGCGTAATTTGTTTAACATATAATTTTGAAAAACAATTGGTTACAAATTTAAATAATTAATAGTTATTATTTGTTTTAAACTAAAAAAGTTATGATAGAGAAATTGATTATTTTAGATAACATATTAGTTTAATAATTGAGTTATTATTGTAATTAATTTAATTACTATATTAATTATTTTCTAAAGACAGACTTACTTATTAAGGATAATATTGTATTGAAAATTTTCATTTATCATTAAATTTATTGTACAACTTGAAAATACATCAATAAGTGTTTGACATAATATAAAAAATCCTATTTAGCTTACTTAACATCAATTCATATTTATTATTTTTAAGATACAGTGAACTATAGGTGTTTTGTAATTTTTGATTTATGTGTCTTTACTATTTTTTTTTGCGAATATTAATTAAAATGAGTAGATGTTAAAATTTTATTAGTTCTGAAATTAGCAATAGCAAAACAAACAAAAAAAATTTGTCCTTAAATAAACATTAGAGTAGCAATTAAGCTTTAACTTTGAAAATAAACATATATGTTTTATAGCCTTTTCTAAATAATTATTGTTCGAAATTTAAGAGTTTTACAATAATTATTGGGGTGATTTTCTAAAATAGGGAGTTTTTTTTTCTTCATTATAGTAATTATTTACATCATAAAATTTTACCTTCTGTTATTTTTACATAATCAATTTTATATAAAATTTATAATTTAATATTTTTTGGGAAAAGGAAAAAGCATTATTAATTATTGGCAGGATATTTACAATTATATTGAATCAAATTTTACATTTTCAGTCATATTTAAAAATCTAATAAGGCTGTGTTTCCCAAACTTATGACTTTTGTGTACCCTTTCTGAATTTCTCGTAACTCTGTGTACGACTAATAAAAACTGTACGATAAGACCATGTGTACGATAAGACCATTATTAACTGTGTACGTGTACTGTGTACGATAAGACCATTATTAATGGTCTTATCCAAAGTTTTTTTTTTTGAATTGAAGTATATCCAGACATTTTTGTCAACAGTATAAAACTAATAAAAGGTTATTTGATACTAAATATGACATTAATTCTTTATTTAACGGAAAATAACAATAAAATTTAATTATTATCCCTTCTCATTATTATTTCTTTTTTAAATTACAATTTTGATTATACCTTAAAATAAGGACAATCTATCCCTACTATAATTTAATTATTAATGTGCTTTTTAAGTTGAATTTTTATTAATCAGGATTCATTGGTCTTCTAAAATAAATTAATAGTAACAAATTATTCTAAAATAAACAACAAATATTACTTACTAATCTTAGGATTGTGGAAGAGAAGCCAAAGGATAGGAAATTTCAGTTCCTTACGGCGTTCTTCTTGGGAATGATAGTGAAACTAGGTTTCACTTTTAAATTTTCCGTGTACCGGCACTTGCTACGTAACGCATGCGAGTGAAAGTGAAACTAAACTATTATTTAAGCAGAGGCTCAAGAATTCAGTGTCGTAAGCATTTTAATCCTACCTCCATTTTGTCTTCTTCTGTTGGAAAACAAGTTTATTATGCTGCACAATTTTTGCAATTATTCTTGAGTTAATTTTTATAAAATAAATTAAAGCGAAAATTTTGTATTGTTTTATCTTATTATTCGGAATTAATCCAAATAATTCTAAAGAATCTCAGAAAAAAAAATGTTTTAAGTAGCAAACAAGGAGTTAATTTTTATAAAATAAATTAAAGCGCAAATTTTTGTATTGTTTTATCTTATTATTCGAAATTAATCCAAATAGTTCTAAAGAATCTCAGAAAAAAAAAATGTTTTAAGTAGCAATCAATGGGGGGGGGGNGGGGGGGGGGGGGGAATTTCGACACTTTTTACATAAGTATTTGTAGTTTATTTTTCTTCGAAGGAAAAAAAAGTGTTAATTAAATTTTTTTTAATAACTTTTGTTATTTCTTATAGCTCTCTATCAGGATTTGAGGAGACGATAAATTTATACAGGTTTAAATCTACAGCATAAAATAAGTATAAAAATTATTTTATTTTTGCCAAGAATATAAATCGCAATAGTGTTTGCTTAAACTGTGAGCTAAATAAAGTTTTTTTTTGTAATTAATAAACTAATTTTCTGTTTGGTTGCAGAGTTTTACTACGTAAAAGCTCAAGAAATGTTAAATTTTTTGGCTGTTGCGTAAAAAATTGAGCACAGAAGAAATTTGCATTGAACCATTTATATGGAATCCAATATTTGAAAGAGTGCCTTTTTCAATATATCAATTTTGCTATTATAATCCAATTTAGGTTATGGAGCATTTCTTTAAGGTGAGAATTATTTAAACAAATAAAAAAAAGATCGTTCAAAAATATTACGTAAGCTCCTGTAGAGGGAGTAGTTAGTGATTTATTTTTGCTAATTAGGGGGAAAAAGGAGTATGAGCAATGCTAATATAAGACACTAAAATTTTATTATTTTAAACTACTTTTAAAAGCAAAAAAAAAAAAAAAAAAAGAAGTTACAAAAAATTAATTTTAAAGAAATTTCTAACTTGAAAAAAAAAAGTTAAATTTCTGGGCTGAAAAAAAAATTGGATTTTTTTTTTTTAAAGCGTTTAAAATTTTTATAACAATAATTTAAGCGTGTAAGCGGTTTATAATTTACTAATTTTTGCTTACAAATGGAGAGAGAGCGTTCTGAAGAGCTAAAACTAGGAGTATTTTTTTTTTCATTTCGTAAAATATGATGCATTTCCTTGTCATGTTTATACAATTTTTAATAGAGTCTAATTACTTCTTCTGGTGGACATTTTTATTACGAAGATGCATTACCTCGCCATGTTTACATAGTTTTGTTTAGAGTCTGATTATTACTTTTTCTGTTGGTGGACATATATATATATATATTTATGTAAAATTTTAATGACCCCAAACTAGAGAAGTTTGAAAGAATAACCAGAAATAAATTATTTTTTATTGATAGAATGAAATTATCTGATTAATCAATTTACATATGAAACTGTATCATTATAACTTTTTTGATCCAAAACAGCAAAAAAGATATTTATATATATATTGAATTGGATACAAAAGTATGAATGCTACGTTGACTTTTTTTAACAGTTATAACTCATTGTTTTGCTTACAGAATCTGATAATTTCTTTTTTCTTCTAATGGACATTTATTTTAAAGAATTTTTTTGTTTTGCAAATTAAAAAAAAATGTACAATTTTATTTAAAAAATCTATAATACTTGTATTCCTAGACAATACGGAGATAAATTTATGTACTAACTTTCTTATGGTAATTACTCAAACTAATAAATCATTTGATGGCAAAAAAAAAAAAAAAAAAATTAAGGATTTCCACCTACTTTAGTAAGCCGTCAAACGCCTTGATAGAACTCCTAAAATGTCATTTTAAAATGGCAAGATCACTCTAATTATAAAAGCAAACCTGATTTATTTCCGAAATATTTGCACTATTCAATAAAATAATACTCAGAGGTGAACGGAAGGGGGGTGCTTGGGCATGACGTTGACGAAAGGGGAGTAATTACAATTATAGGTGATGTTTAATGCATGTAAAAAAAGGATGGGGTATAATCTGTGTTGTGCACACTAAATAATAATAAAAACAAACATGAATGAAGCACAAATGAAAGGGGAAAAAAAAGGACATAATAAGAACCATCCGCAGTGTCGAAACACCAAATGACAGTTGCTAGGCCTGATTTAATGTTAGGCCCAACCCCAGAATTTAAAATTTTTTTTCTCCTCAATATTTTAACTTCAGCGTTATCTATTAGAATTATAAGTTAACAAAAATTTATTTAAAATTAAGTCCAAATTAACTAATATATCATAATTTATTTCAATTACAAACAGCTTAAAATCATTTTGTGAATGAACAAGTTAATTTATTTAAAGTTTCGACAAGGGAGACCCCTAATTTCTAGATCAGTCTCTGGATAGTTAAGAACTAGAGAGATAATCATGTGTAAAGTGGTTAAAACAATAGGGGCAGAGGAACATGTTTGAACAAGATAATCAAAGAGAGGTAGATTTAGATTAGAGAGATTATCCAAGCTATGTCCGAATTCGTTTTTTTTTTCTTTTTTAAAGTTTAGAATACTTTTTAACTTATCAACAACTTTTCTAAATTTCTGAACCAGTAGATCTTCCGGATGAAAAGATGCCAGGTTATGCAGAAGAAATAGAAGACTGGTGTCGAGACACTGAAAACGTCCCAGAATTTCAAATTTTAAATGAGGATGAAACTGTTGGCGAAATTTTGAATGAAATTCGGAACTCCACAGACGAAGAAGTAGGTGATCAAGTTCAAGATAGTGAACCTTTTCATATAGAAGAATGCAATGTATTAGATATTGCAATGAATGGGCTAGGACGTCAAAATGATGTTGATCCAGTTCAACTGATTTATTTAAAAAGAATAAGGCATATGGCTGCCCAAAAAAGTGCATCTTCTTTGAAACAAGTCTTTGCTGGATTTCTTTTGCAATGAAAAATAAAAAAAATGTGGTAAAAATCAGTAATTAACAAAAAAAAAAAGTTGAAATATGATAAAAAAATTCTAAATAAAAAGTTAAAAAAAAAAAAAAAAGAAAACTTTAAAACATAGTTATTTTAGACAGTACTTCTATCCCTAAACCTGGAAAAAGTGCGAAGGGAAGTTAGTGCATAAATAATAATCATTTAAACTAGATTTCAAACAACTTTCCAATTATCCGAACCACGTTCGGATAATCGGCGCTCTACTGCATTGTGAAATGGCGGGATACTAGAAAGATCATTAACGGAATTTTTCAGAGTATGGAAGGATTCCCAGAAATCAAGTTTGGTAGATTAAGAGCAGTTTTAAATGATTTTAGCAGAAGAAAACTCAAATCTGTGATTAGAATTCCAAATATGGTTGTCTCTTCTCCGATTATCTTATTCAAACTTGTTCCTCTGCCCTATTGGTTTTGCATGTGCTTGTTTCTTTACTTCTGAATTATCAATTAGGGTTTAGACGCTTATGAAGGTTTTTGTTTATCGAACTCAAACCATGGTATATCCATTTCGGCATTTCATTTAGTTTAATGCATGGCTAGTACTGGTTTCCCCACTGGTCTTTGGTAAAATCTACTTTGGTAATCGGAAATCTACTTAGTTTTAATTTCTACATCTTTGGGTGGAGCGATACTTCGAAGTACATTTATCACTCAACCTTAACCACACTTTCCCCCCCCCAATCTTTTGTTGTTGGCTGATTTGTTAGAACTTGTTCCCCTTCCCTATTCACACACCTTTTTGCAACTTGTTTGTAATTTGTTCTGCATCTTTGTGTTGCTATTGAAAAAGGCAATTCATTATAATACCAAACAATCATGTGCCCATTTTTGTGACTTTTTTTTCTTTTTTTAAAATAAAAATGAACAAATGTTTTCTTCAAAATTTTAATGAAAGGGTAAAAAAAAAAGAAGTTAAAGACAATAAATAGTGATCACAAACTCACTGAAGGGTATGATACACATTTTATGTAATATAACAGATCTGAGAGCAAACCTAACAACTTATGGGATTTTATTTCAGGGATTAACAGCTTTCTTTTTAAATATAGATGTGTATAAAGATTTTTCTTATCTACAGTTATAGCATAAATAACCATGTAAATTTCAATTTTGCAGAAGTGAACATGAAACACTTTCCAAAAAAAGAAAAGTTTATAATTATTATGATCCTCTTAACTCATTAATAAGTTTGTTAAAAATAAACTGTCATTTTATTTTGTCGTGCAGCCGTTAAGAGCCAGCAAGCAATCTAGTAATATAAAAATATTGAATTTAAACAGTCAATATGTCGCTATGATAATGTGATATGACTATGTAAATATTGTCGCTATGATAACTTAAAAGGCAAACTTTATTTACCTCTGGCTCATTTCATGTTAAACAACCCAAAAGATTTATCTTTGTTCCCCTCCCAGATGAACAGGCAAATTTAAAAGACTCAAATTTTTACACAAAAATATTTTAAAAAGTTTCAAATGTTTCTATAACATTTATCAGTTTAACATTATTTTCAATGTAGTGTATTTCAAGAGAGGTAGATAATTTTTTTTTTAAAATTGAATTCTTAGTTTCCGATTATTTTAAAATTGCTATTTACTATCCAATTCACAGCAAAATTTTCACAATTTTGTTGTTGTATAGAGATTTATAAAACATGGTAATAAGCAAACTTAAAAATCTTTTATAGCAAACAGAGGCCAATCTTACCTAAGGCTCACTTAAGATCCTTTAAAAAAAACAAAAAACTGCAATGAAATTTGAACGCATAATTTAAATTTTTTTCAGGCACAAAAATCAAAAATACATGTTAAAAGTTTGGTTAAACATATGTCAAAAATTTGGGTTATTTAAGCTGGAATGAACCATAAATATACTGACTATAAATATAATATTTTAAATCAAAATATTATGAAAGATGGAAAAATATATTACACAGAAATAAAGCCTGCTTTAAATAACAAATTACAGT